GAAAAAAGAAAAGAAACAGACAATGAACTCTTTCATTTTAAGATCATTTAGCTTCCTTTTTAAGTCCTTTTCAGAAAATGTTTCCCAATATTGTGTCCTACTGATTCAGTACACACGCATTAAAAAAAAAAGAAGAAGAAGAAAGAAAGGAAGGAAGGAAGGAAGAAAAAAGAAAGAAAGAAAGCTCACTGTAGAGGATACTCAGCTCTGCCTAGGATTTTCTCTTTTGGGAATCCAGCTAGTTTCTGCTAGATGTTTTAAGCCCCCAATTTAATGATATTACCTTTCTGCTTGGGGTAGTTTGAAAGTAAATGGTCCCCATGGGAAGTGGCACTATATGGAGGTGTGGCTTTGTTGGAGGAAGTGTGTCACTGTGAGGGTGAGCTTTGAGGTCTCCTATGCACAAGCTATGCCTAGTGACATAGTTCATCTCCTATTGCCTATAGATTAAGATGTAGAACTCTCAGCTCCTTCTTCAATAGCATGTCTGTCATGGTATTTCTTCACAGCAACAGAAACCCTAACTTATTTTTATTTTTTTTACTTTGGCTTGCTGTACAGTTAACTTATTCAAAATGAAAACATGACTATCATAGATTATTCTCCAAACCATACAAATTAGGGTCTTTGCAACCTCTAAGACTTCACAATTGTTCTCTCTCCCTTTCTCGGAAAATAGGTTCATTAGTACACTACAAAGACAACAATAGGGTAGCAATGACAGAACTACTTGCCTATTTTGTATCTCTTTTAGGTCTTTTCTCAGTTATCTTCTGAGTTAAACTTCAGTCATTGACTCTATTAAAAATTCTCAATCCATGATCTAGGCCCCTTACTGCCTCATTTCCCCTTACATACACTATCTAAACATATGTAACTAAGCATACAATATATTTTAGTTATATATCTTATTTTTACTCTGCCTAGCTCACTAATGTATACTCAGTGTATACATAGTAGCTGGATTGTGTGTGTGTGTGTGTGTGTGTGTGTGTGTTCACATACATATATTAGACTTATAATATAGAAGCACTAAATGGGTCAGAAGGAAGCATTTGAACAATATTGTCTTTGGACCTTCTATGAAACAGCTGTACAATGCTTAAGTATTCTGATAGAATCACATTAATTTGGAGAGACAAAATGTAATTCAGAGTTAAATATGATAAAGAAAGATAATTAAAACATAGTATTTTTTAAATAAACAAAACATGACTCAGACCAATTTTCAATTTTGCTGAGGAATTTATAAATGACTCTTGCTTTTGTTTTTCCAGATGCTGAATTTGATCAGTTTTATTTCTTCTGCATATCTCCCTCACTTCTCTCCTCAGTTTCCTCCAGCCCAAACTCTTGGGTCTGCACCATAAGCAGTTTACTGAATCTGCTGTGTGTCTCTCCATCCTACCTGGTGATGCTAAATATCTCTGTTTGCTATTAAAGACATGGGAAAAAAAGGATACCTTTCTATATATTTAGGTAGAAAACTTAAACACAGCAATTAAGGTATTTAGTAAAGTATTTTACAAGCTTGATTTAAAGAATCATTATGAAACATAATTAATTTTCTTTTTTCCTTCACACTTTTTTTTTTTTTTTTTTTTTTTTTTTTTTGCTTTGAGTAACATAGAGTAGTTGTGGGCTCCTGGTTCCTATTTATTGCTGAAGACATAGCTAGTCTCAAAGCTTCCTATCTCTTGTGCTATTCCCCATTATTTCACCTATTTCGTTGTTTCCTTAACATCTGTTATCTCCTGCTCTATGGCAGGAGGCTTGTGATGTTCTGATATTCTCATCAGTTCCTAGGTGTTGGAGGCCCAGGGAGGGGTGAGGTGTTGCTAGTTCACACATGCTACACATGTGTTCTACTACTAAGCTAAATGCCATTCTCCCAGTACCTGGTTTTTGCTTTTAAACACTATTCAGTACATTCTTCAAAATTCCAGTCATGTGAAAATATTAAAAAAAAAAAAAAAAAAAGACAACTATCTGTAAACTTGAAATAATGCTATCAACTAATTGCTAAAACTTTCTAGCTTTTAGAATTGTGAGAAATATAAGCCTTCCAGTCTATGACTTTCTGTCATAGAAGCCTGAAATAAGACATAATACCCATACAAATAAAAATAATAAACAAAGTGCCTCTCTCAGTATAAATGCTATCACTACTCTCATGCCTTGATCAGTAGTGATGGCGGACATCCTTCTGAATGCTGTGATTATATGTTTCTCTTATTGGTTAATGAATGAAACACTGATTGGCCAGTAACCAGGCAGGAAGTATAGATGGGCTACCAGACAAGGAGAATGCTGGGGAGAGGAAATAAGAGTGAGTCACCAGAGAGATGCCGTGTAGCTGCCAAAGGAGTAATATGCTGGAGTATTAAGGGTGAGACACAGCCTCATGGCAATATATAGTTTATAGAACAGGTTAGTAATTAAGAGAGAGCTAACCAACAAGAAGCCTGAGTCACCAGATGCAGAGGGAGAGGACAAGACCAGGTTGCAGAAACAAATAGAGACAGGTGACCTGAACAAGGAGGAGCTAACAGGCCCCCAGACTCATAGCTGGGAATCCAGCATGGGACTGACTCAGACCCCCTGAACATGGGTCTCAGCTAGAAGGACTGAGCAGTCTAAGGGACCTCAGACAGTGAAACCAGGATGTATCCCTGGTGCACAAAAGGACTTTGTGAACACATCCCCCATGGAGGGATAACTGCCTTAACCTAGAGACAGGAGAGAAGTCCTAGTTCCTACTTCAAATGACTTGACAGATCTACATGACCCCACCTGGATGGCATAGCCCTACATGTGGAATTGGGGTAGGGGGATGGGAGGGGAGGGTGGACAGGGTACATGTGAGGGGGGACAGAGGGTAAGAGGGAGGGAGGAAGGGAGGGAGGGAGAGGGAACTGGGATCAACATGTAAAAATAAAAAATAAATAAATAAATAAAAAAGAAGCCTGAGCCATCAGCCAAACAGTTTACAATTTATATAAGCTTCAGTGTGTTTATTTGAACTGCACAACTGCATTACCAGGTGGGACCGAAACACCATCATTACAGTAGTGTATCAATCTACTTATAGATAAAGGGAAGCAGTGCTTTAATTTATTATTTGTCAAAATCAGAGCACTGTGAAGCATGCAAATTAACTTTTTTCCTTCTTTTTGTTTATTTATTTATTGTTGTTATTTCAAGACAGGATTTCTCTATGTTGTGGTGATACACTTTGTTTGTGATCTAACAAATAAAGCTTGCCTGAAAATCAGAGAAGCAGAACAGCAAGCCAGTAGTTCTTACCTCTACATGTCAGACCAAATGGGGGTTCCGGTCTCTAGGAATCCTTACACTGAATTGCCGAGCTCCTGTCTCCCGCCTTATATTCCTCTCTCTGCTCAGTCATGTACCTTCCTGCCTCCACCTTCCTAGTGCTGGCTTTTAAACTGGATCAATATTGTGTAGCTTTAAATTCACAGAGATCTGTCTGTCTCTGCTTTCTAGTGGTGGGATTAAAGGTATGTGCCATCACTGCCTGACCTCTATGGCTTAACTAGTGGCTTAGCACTCTGATCTTCAGGCAAGATTATTTGTTAGATCACAAACAAAATATCACCACACTGTGTAACAGCTCTGGCTGTCCTTGGACACTCAGAGATTCATCTGCCTCTGCTTCCTGAATGCTGGGATTAAAGACTTCTCAGCCAAATGAACTTTCTTTCACATGATTTTAATTTTCATTAAATTTTTAATGTGTAAAATATAGTTCTAAAAGTAAATTTACATAAAAGGACAAATAAGCTCCATTAAATCACTCCCATGACAAGAAAATTCCCAAGTAATATAAAGTACCCCAAGATTTCTTTCTCTTGGCTCCACTTAAACCACAGAGAAATGTCTGAATTCTCTAAAATAGCAGCTTGGCTACAAATGTCACCACATACTATCAGATCTTTATACCTGTTAGACTAAAGGAAGCCTAGGGTCTTAATTTTTCCCTATCCATGAAGAAAGCAGTACTGTAGTTATTTATACTTAAGGATCCAACACTCTGCCAGTACAGTCGATTGTGTACCAACCCATGTTGTTGCCTTTTTTCCAAACCAAAGCAAAAATGACTGACAATGTCAGCCTTTGTGTCTGCTCAGAGGATACACTCCCTCTCACGGGGCTGCAGCAGCACTGCGGGCCAAAGCTGCCCTCAGCTGTAACACAGCCTTTTTCTCTGTGCTCTCTCTCACATAAAGCAAAACCAAGCCAGGACCAAGTGCCTTCTGTTCTCTGGGGCTGAGCATCTTTGTCACATTCTCTTTGCCCTTCTACTTCTCCTCTGTCTTTTCTCTAACATTAAACACAACATGTTTTTTGAGGCAGTGATAGTCAAAACTTAATTTTTAACTTCCATATGGAACTAGCTATAGAAGAAAAAGAAACCATTCGTGTTACAGGTGTTTTCTGGAATATCCTTTCCAAGGAACCATGTTGAATGTTTTATTCCCACTTGGTGATATAACTGGGAGGTGGTGGTAAACTATAGGAAGCCAGTCTTAGCTGGAGGAAGTAAGTGAATGGATCATGTCACTTAAGAGTACACTAAGACTCTAGCCCTTCCTCTGCCATGCTGAACAGTTTCTTTCACTCCATCACGTATGTTCATTGTGCTATTCTGCCTTACAAGTCTAAAAGCAATGAAGACAGCCAACAATGGACTGAAACCGTTGAGTCAGTGTCTAAAATAAATCGTTCTTCTTGTAAGCTGCCTACCTCAGATATGCTGTCATAGTGATGGAAAGTTAACACAACATGAGATGATTTAGATGACTTCAATGGCTACTGGGAGCTGAAGCCAAAGTTTCAGCTAATAAGACTAAGCTATTTTATCTTGTTATACTGCCTCAATACATTTACTTTGAAGGCCAGAGTTGCCTTTGACCCATCCCATTCTAATAAATACAAATATGAATATAAACCCCACCAGAACTTCCCAGGACTCTGACCTGATCTGCTTGCCTTCTCTCATGTCATACAGAGAAAAGAAAACATCAGTATCTTCCCCAATGGTATTATAGGTGAAACTTTTCAGACTGAAGAAGAAATGATGTGGTACTGGCATCCGACAGCTTTCCCCATGGCGTGGGCGCATTGTATCTACCTATTGAAGAAAGTAAAAATGTGATCATTTATATTTTGTTACTCATTATATTTATCATTAACAAACAAAAATAAATTACTAAGTCATTATACTGACAAATGGGATTATTAAATAGGTAAGACAGAAGATGATTTCTCTGGCAATAAGGACTACTACAACAGACTTGGACTGAGCAGGGCAAGCATCTGACATATGCAATTTAAACTGTTAGGTGGTGATAGCAACCATTCCAGATATCATTTTCTCTTTTCCTAAATAGAGTCTTTTTTAGTTCCTCAGTCTACTTTCTTTTAATTGTGCTTATATAAATTTTCACAGAAGAATGGAGACTGGCTGAACTGCTTGGAGGACAAAGCCCCTTAGAAAGAAAGTATAATACAATCAATGTCTTAGGAAGGCAAATATGAGCTGAGTGCAATAATATATATATACTATGAAAATGTCTTTAAAAAGCCCATTATTTTATATATGTCTTAAAAATTTTAATTACAAAGTAGCCCCCCAAAAGTAAATGGTGTCCATTATTTCTTGGTGTTTTCGCATATATGATCTTGTAAAATAAAGAGTTGATGAAAAAAACTGGATGGTTTAAGGAAGTCACTTACTTGGGATGTGCTCTGCTGTACACTCTGTCGGCTAGATAAATGCTATGGGAGGAAAGAAATACAGAAAGATTTATTCTGTGGTGGAAGAAATTAACTTTTATTAAGCAGTCTATTATGCCTATTATAGCCACGACTTCACTTAAATCAGTATTATTCATATTTGATAGCGACAATCAAAGCTCAGAGTAAAGGACTGGTTTGCTGAAGGTCTCACAAGAAGGTGGTAAAGTCTGTGTGTAAAACCCAAGCCTCTTAATTCCTGAGCAATAGCCAAGACACACATGGGTGGTTGATGGTTACTAGATTTCTGATTTGGCAATATCTTTCACATTGCATAATTTTCTATGCTGCTGGTTGAAGTTTCTTCAGGCTTTCCACAATGGAGCCCTTTAATACAACCTTTCAAAAATCTTTCTACATTATTCCTTTATCACTGGTTGAAGTTACAAGATATAGACTACAATTTGAGCTCAATCATGTAGGCTGTAAACTTTTTTTTTTTGAGAACCAGTTTTAATACTTGAAACAATAAATATCTAACAATCTCCACAGTAACTGCTAGACAGCAAAATCAGCATTACTTATCAGGTCAGTGATCCAATGCTCTTTTTCTTTTGGCAGTAAGTAGGAATTCCAAAGGACAGGTGAACAACTACAAATTAAAGGTTGTGCTTGCTAATCCAGAATCACATTTCCTGTCTTGGAACCCCTGAATATGGGGAAGGAAGATATGAGTGGCAAGGCTGCTGGAAACATAAAGGGTGTACCTTAACTTCTGGCCCCACGTGGGCTCTGAGGCAACACACAGGATTTGAGACTGAAGAAACCGAAGACCTGGGCCGCAGCTATAAGGGAAGCAGGGCCCCCAGCGGTGGAACCAGTGCTGGGTGGGCTTTCTTCTTGGCTTCCCTGTCCTTTTTAAACCTTAATATCTTCAAGTATTTAGCCAAGCTTGACATGTATGTCACAGTTCTAAGCCAGAAACAGTCCAACCACTTTGTGTGGATTAAATCCAAGCGGAACTGGAACATGGCATCTGTCAGTAAGGAGGATGATTGAGGGCCCTCAACTCCTTCACTTGGGGCCTCTTCCCCATACCTAGGCTATGAAAGTTTTTAAGATGCCCATCTTTCTGTTAGAGATTCCCCTCAAATATAAAAGATAAGAATCGGTCTCATTTTTCGCAGTGTTGGTTCAGGTGCTCATGCATGTGAGTGTAAGACAGACACACAGAGGTCAATACTGAGTCTCTTCAGTTGTTTTCTCCCTTAAGTTTTGAGACAGGGCTCTCAGTGAACCTGATACTCACCACCTGGTTAGGCTTGCTGGCCAATGAACCCCAGGATCTCCTAGGAAGTTCTCTTAAGCTCAAATTACATGGTGGCAATCAGTATTACATTGTAAGTTAGGAAGTTAACTACAGAGGTCCATTCTGGTTTTGAGTCTTGGCTCATGTTTACTAGCTCTTAACAGCAATCATCACTTGTATCAGGACTTTAATTCATCAATTGTTCCTTGTTTACTACCTAACATTAGATTATGAGCTTCCACGAAGCAAAAAATTGTTTTATTTATCTTTTTGTTTTGTTTTGTTTTTCGAGTCAGGGTTCTCTGTAGCTTTGGAGCCTGTCCTGCAACTAGCTCTGTAGACTAGGCTGGCCTGGAACTCACAAAGATCCTCCTGCCTCTGCCTCCTAAGTGCTAGGATTAAAGGCGTGTGCCATCAATGCCTGGCTTTTATCTTTTTATTCTAATAGTATATATTCTAATAGTATACCAATGCAAATAAGACTTAGAAATTAAAAAATGCATAGACTACATTATTCCTTTTGGCAATTTTCCTCCAGATGTTTCCAGATCTTTACAATCTCTAGTCAATTTAGTCTACCAATAAGAAAACAAACCTATGCATCTTTGAACACAGTATTAAATTGAATAATGTAACTAACTCTCTGATGTATACACTGGGGACTGTGCTAAGAATTGTCAGTTTTAGGGCTAGAGAGATGACTCTGTGGCTAAGAACACTGAATGCTTTTCCAGAGGACCTGGGTTCAATTCTCAGCACCCACATGGCAGCTCCCAACATGCAGGCAAAACACCAATGCATATAAAACAAAAGTAAATAAATTATGTAAATAAAAGATTTGTGAATCTTACAAGAAGACATAAGGTATCTGACTGATCAGGATTATCAATGACACCTTAATTTTGATAAATAATACAGTCAAGTGATTGGCTCCAGAAATGGGAAAACATTTATATATTAAAATATCAATTACAATAAGGGCTTTATTTTGATATACTAATTAGTACTAAAAGAAGATTAAGATAACAGAATTTCAAATTAATACAGCAGTGAGTAAAAGGGTAAGAATGAAGCAGGGGTTACAATGTATTGAGCAACATGACAGAGCATGGAACAATTTGGATAATTTCTTTGCAATCTCCACCTAAATGCAACACAAGCTATATTTATAAAGATGGGTTTTTTTCCATTTGTTTGTTTGTTTTAGAGCTGAGGTCCATACCCAGGGCCCTGCACTTGCTAGGCAAGCACTCTACCACTGGGCTAAATCCCCAACCCCATAAAGGTGTTTTTTTACAGGAAATGTTTGACAAAGAGTACTAAAATTAGAAAGTTTCAGACTTAGTTTTTTATAATCTCTAATTTTATTTAAATTTTAAGATAAAGAGACTTTTTTGAACCTCACTGATCATTGATAACTTTTAAGATTTAACAAAAATGTATGAATTATTGTTCATTTCCTTTTCATAAAAATTTGGTTTATTTCTCTAAGACATATATATTATCTCTATTGGGCATATACCCAAAAGATGTAATCTCATACCACAAGGACATTAGCTCAACTGTGTTCATAGCAGCATTATTTGTAATACTCAGAACCTGGAAACAACCTAGATACCCCTCAATTGAAGAACAGATAAAGAAAATGTGCTACATTTACACAATGGAGCACTACTCAGTGGTTAAAAAAAAAAGAAAAAACAAAGACATCATGAAATTTGCAGGCAAATGGATGGAGTTTAAAAAAAAAAAAAAAACCATCCTGAGTGAGGTAACCCAGACCCAGAAATACAAACACAGTATGTATTCATTCATAAAGGATATCAGATGTAAAGCAAAGGATAATCAGCCTATAGTTCACGACCCCAGAGAAGACAGATAACAAGGAAAACCCTCCAAGAGACATACATGGATTCCCCTGGGAAGGGGAAATAGACAATATCTCCTGAGAAAATTGGGAGTGAAGTGGGAGAAGGGGAAGTAGAAGGGAAGGGGGGAGGAGAAAAGAAGAGGGGAATTGGGAGGAGAACATGAGGGAATGGGAGGGTTGAGATGGGGCAAGGACACGGAGGGAGAGCAAGGAAAGCGGTATCTTGATTGAGGAAGTCATAGAGCTATCTAGAAATCTAGCACTAAGGAATTTCCCAGGAGTCCACAAAGGTGACCTCAGCTAAGACTCTAAGCATTAGTAGAGAGGGTACCAGAATTGGCCTTCCCCTATCAGATTGATGACTATCTCAATTATCATTGTAGAATATTCACCCAGCAACTGATCAAAGCAGATTCAGAGATCCACAGCTGAGCATTGGGCTGACCTCCAGTGTTCAGTAGAAAAGAGGAAGGAGTAACAATATGAGCAAAGGGGTCAAACCCATTTTGGGGATACTCACAGAAACAGCTGGCTTAAGCTAGTGGGAGCTCACTGACTGGACTGACAGCAGAGGAACCTGCACAGGACCAAACTAGGCCCTCTGAATGTGGGTGACAGTTGTATGGCTTGGGCAGTCTGTGGGGCTCTGGTAGTGGGACCAGGAATTATCCCTAGTGCTTGTACTGGCTTTTTGCAGCCCATTCTCTTTTGAGGAATACCTTGCTCAGCCTAGATATAGCAGGGAGGGCCTTGTCCCTGCCTCAAAGTGATATGCCTGACTTTGTTGGCTCCCCATGGGAAGCCTTACCCTCTGAGGAGTGGATGGGGTGTGGATGGAGGAGAGCAGGAGAAGGGGAGGGAGTGTGAAAAGGATTGGTATGTAAAATGAGAAAAGATTGTTTTAAAATAAAAACTATTTTAAAAAATTGTTTTTTAATTTTCATTTTATTATTTATTACTGTGTATATAGGTACTTTGCCAGTATGTATGTGTGTGCACCATGAGTGTGCCTGGTACAAATAGTGACCAGAAAATGATGTCGGATTTCCCTGGGACTAGTATTAGTTGCCATGAGGATGCTGTGACTCAAACCCAGGAAGAACACCCAATGCTCTTCACTGCTGAGTCATTTCTCCAGTCCAATAAAAAGCAGAGGGGAGAGGGGGGAGGGAGGAAGGGAAGAAGGGAGAGGGGGTGGAGAGAGGGAAGGAGTGAGGGAGGGAGGAAGGGAGGGAGGGAAAGAGGGAGAGAGAATATATGTGTATCTTATGCTTATGAATCCAGGTTAAGTCAGAAGAAAGCATCAGATCCTCTGTAACTAGAGTTCCAGGCATTTGTATGCTTACTGACAAGGGTGTGGAGAACAGAATTTGGGACTTCAGCAAGAGCCCACACTATATATTTCTGTAGATGAGCTAACACAAATTCCTAAGTGCTGAAGTTGTAAACTCTCAATCAGTTTTTCTTTATTATAACTAATTCTTTTTTGTTGGTGTATTTATTTATGTTTTTGGGACATGATCTCACTACACATCCTCTGGCTGTCCTGAAACTCACTATGTAGACCAAGCCAACCTAGAACTCACAGAGAACTGCCTGCCTCTGTTCATGGAGTGCTGAGATTAAAGGCGTGCACCATTATGTCCAGTTTATTATACAGATGATTCTTTCAATATAAAAATAAATGCAAAATACAAAAGAAAAGAGTAGAAAATAAAAGTCTTAAATTTAAGCTTTTATAATCAATATTTTGACAAAAATTAATAAAACTAAAGCATGTATTTTAAAAGCTAAATATCTTTAAAGACTTAAAAGAAAAAATGACTAGTCTTTTGCCCATCTGTCCTGTTTCATCAAGATAAG